TAAAGCTGTACCGTTTGCACCAGCACATCTTTTAAACGCCTCACGTATACGCCTTAACTCACTATCAGACACTGTAATTTAACACAACGACATTGCAATTACGTATTTATTAATATTCAAAACACTAATAAGTAACGTATTAGAAGTATGCCACCATTCCGTACCTCGTCTTGTTGCATCTTCGTAAGATATAAAACTAGGTTTCGAGTCTTTTACACCCATATTCACGAAAACATTAAAAATCACATCATTAGAAAAGTACAAATACAAAGAAACAAAACTTCAGCTGACAGCTCACGTCGTACCATGTAGCCATATTGGAATTGAATATTTTCCATTAGAATTTGAAGGAGAAGGAGGAAAAACATTTCTTAGAATGTCATTCCAACTTACAGAATATAAAACTTGACTTTATTTTGTTGAATTTACTGTTATCTGTTAAATATTCTTCTCCGTATGCCTCGAAATTTTTCGTACACTATTAAGTGCGTTTTCCAATTACACAGCATAATGCGACTCAGTGCCGCACAATGCCGCATTATGCTGAAGCTTAATTGGAACGTGAATTAGTTTTCAAATGCATCAGCAGAGTGCGCTAAGTCAGTGTTGAAAAAAAAATGTTCTGAATAGAGTTAGCAACCTCATGAATGTATAAATAATGTGGTAAACAATAATAATTGGTTGATAACTATTTACGCTTATTATAAGTAATTTGTATTTTGATTATTTCATTAACATTTTTTTACTGAAAATAGAGAAAACCTTTCAAGAATATAAGGTTTTAACAAGCTAAATTAACAGTAAAATAGTTAGTTTCATGTAAGAAGTTTACATCATTTACGTTTTGAGTAATTTTTTTAAAGGATTTCTAAAAAAATTATATACTTTTTCAAAACCATTGCAATGTTTACAAAAGTATAATCCTGTAAAATAAATTTGTTTACAGATCCGAATTTTAAAATGAAATTGTATTTATATTTTAAATGACGTGGAATATAAAAAAAGTAACTATTTATACCTTCATCCATACTTATATTTATTTTTTTTAGCAGTTTGAATTAACTTTAATTATTTTCAAAATCTACGACGAAACGAAAGCCTTACAAATTTTTCAACAATAAATAATATTTACTAACGAAAATTTCGATCAATGCCAACTTAAAGAAAAACACTGGTCAATTTTCTGTCACTGTGTTGGTATTGATTGCGAGAAGCACGCGAGAGCATTACTTTTGAGAGTGCTCAATTGTGCGAAGCGTTGCTGTAGTTGGAACATTCAACGTTGAGCATTATGCCGCATAATGCGCTCTAGTGCTGTAATTGGAAAACGCACTAAGAGATCTTTAAAAACAATATTGGATATTATTTACATTTATTTTATTATGCACGGTACTAAAGTAAAATTAAATAACTTTTTAACACGGAACCACTACCTTCGCTTTTTGACATTGGCTGTTGTGTTGACAATGATAACCTTGTGTTGACAATGATTGCCTTAGTCAAGATGCCTAATAACAGTAGTGTATGTAGAAAGTCGAAAACTTAATTTGTATGGAAATGACAGTTCGTGTCGAAAAGTTTTCATACAAATTTAGTTTTTGACGTTCTACATACACTACTGTTAAGGCATCTTGACTAAAGCCCCAGTTATTTGACGGCATTTTATTAAATTTGTACAATTTTAACCGCAACGCCAACAGGTTCTAGGGGCTCAGACAAGATGCCTAGCGTGTTACGAGTAGCTCTACTCATCTGTGCTAAAGACATTGTGAGTTGTGACTTATGACTGTGCTTGTTTTTTTTTTTTTTGAATGGAATCTCGCTGTTGGCCTTAATGGCCTTTACAGCTCAGCTCGGGCTGTTTTGGCGAGCGTAGCTCGGCCAGAATGGGCGTTTTTCCCGCGACTAGCGCAAGGGCGTCTCCCGTGAGACTCGAACCTCGGCTTGAGCCGTCGCGGGGTGGTCAATCGCCTGAAGGGCAGGATGGAAGCTCACTGGAGTGAGCGAAGTGCGAAGTAAAGATCCTCGCCTTCCCCGGTAAAGGCAGTTTTTACCCTAATCTGTGTTTAACTATTTTGATTATTATTATTTGCCGGGCGGGCGGCTTTTAATTTATTGTTAGCTACGGTTATTGGATCATCCGGATCCGTTAGTGTGTGTGTGTGTCGGGGCCTCCTAAGAGCCTATTATGGGGCTGTGCTTGTGAAGATTGTATTCATATCTTAATATATATATTTCTTCTGTGCGTGTGTATGTGACTGAACTCCTCTCAAACGACTGGACCGATTTTGATGAAATTTTTTGTGTGTGTTCAAGGGGATCTGGGAATGGTTTAGATTCACAAATCAGCCCGGCAGATGGCACTGCAGTCGGTACTTTCATACTTTGCTTAATATCCTAATCGCTTTAAATATCATGCAGGACAACGTCTGTGGGGTCCACTAGTATATATATATATTTTTTTTTTTTTTATGAATCCTCTCAAACAATGCGATTTTGATGAAATTTTTTGTGTGTGTTCAAGGGGATCTGGGAATGGTTTAGATTCACAAATCAGCCCGGCAGATAGCACTGCAGTCGGTACTTTCATACTTTGCTTAATATCCTAATCGCTTTAAATATCATACAAGCCAACACAGTGAGCAGTGATGCCAACTAAGGGGTTTCCCCCCAATTTTAGGGGGAATCATTATGTTTTATAGGTGGTACTTTATTCAATTTTATTTTTTATAAACGCACGATTCTTTACAATTTATATTATAATGCCTCAACCCCAACCAGCAAACTAAATCAAATATAAACTGTAAGCGTGGTTACAACTGAAAAAGAAGCTGTAATACTGCAATATCTCAATAACAGCTATTTTAATAAAATAATAATAATAATAAAAAGTAGTTAGGAATTTAATTGTCATTAAAATATTAAAAGTGTCGAAAATTTAATACAAATTATATTATTATAAATTTATTTCTTCGATAATAATAACACGTGGCATTTTAATTTACAATTTATCATTTGAGATTTCAATAAATTATTTTGAATAAAATATTTAATACTTATATTTCATAAATTCTATTTACGAAATTTTAATTTTAAAAATAAAATTTATATAAGGCCCTTCTCTCTCTCTTTCAATCGGTCTCAGTCACTCTCTCCCTTTTCTTCGACAAAAACACTGCACATCTTCGTGACGCTAATATTATTATTATTGCGTTTCATCCGTAAAAAATTTACCCTCATGCGCCTAAAGAAGTTTCACTTCAAAAACTTTATTCATGACAGAAATATTAATTCATCTATCGCTAGTCACTACACTAGGCAGATTACAATTATTCCATGGTACATGATGCATGTATAAAGCAATTTTTTTAATAAAACGTCTTAGTGTTACAACTATTCAAATACAAGCCGTATTCGACCTTAAGTATGCGTGAGTATGGAATGGGTGTGTGTGCGAATGTATTCTGAACTCTTAAATACATAGCTGAGAGTTGTTTTAAACTTGCGCTGTGTCTGTGTTAGTTTTTGGAACCTCAGAGTCATGCCAAAATTCGTAATAAGGCCTCTGTAGAATCGAAACCCAATTCAGCTAGAGTAATTTTTATATGTTTTGTGACTTAATCTGGATAGTTTGACTATCCCAGAATCCATAGATTGGGAGATTTTGTTATTAAGAAATAAAATAAAAAAAAGCGTTGACCAAACATAGTCTGTTTTGTCGTCGGGAATACAAAACACGTGATCTTAGATATGTTTGATTAATTATTACTCCATGGAGTTTGTGATATAGGTTTTTGTTTCTAGGTGGTTTGACTGTGGTCAGCGATATGCGACTTTAAGAATTGCTCGTTGTGCACGTTCTAACTTAATTGAAGTTCAGCCGTTCTTCCTCTTGCAGGCAGACATGTGGTAGGTGTGTTGGTATGTTAGGATGGACTAACTAATTGCTAAATAAATTATTCTAATAACTTCGTGCTCCGCTTCTCATTTTAGTTGATAGAAGATATACATTAGCAGGGAACCCTAGAAGACTGCATCAATGTGTTTTTCCCAAGTGATGGGTCGAACTATTATTTCTCCCATATTTAATACTTTCCATGTATTCGACAACTGGACATTGGAATGAATATTGGTTATAGCATGTGTGAAGTTTAATGACTGGTAGATTGATAGGGCTGGAGCGATGTAAAACACAGGAATTCGGTTTTGCTAAGATTTATACTTACCAGATTATTTTGAAATGCAAGTTATACCTTTCTCTGCTACGATGGAAACCTGTTCCCAAGTGCTAGCTTAACTAACAAAAAAGCTTCTTGAAAAGTTACTTAAGTTGATCTTGTTTTCTGAACCCGAATTGGTTGTAAGAAAGGAGCGATTGTTTTTCTAAAAATGAGAACAGCTTTGACTAGAAGTACAGATATCGGTCTGTAACTTGAAACTTCCACTCTGTTTTCAGACTTCCAGATTGGGGTTACTTTGGCTAGCTTCCGACTTTATACGACTTGAATGTATTTTGAATACATATTTATAACAACCTTTCAAACCAAGTGCACAACCAAAACTTTAGGGGTTTTAATCGATATTTCGGGGTATTTGAAGTTGGTTCTAGTGGAACATTCTGTAGAAGTTGTCATGACTGAGTCAAAGCGCTTGACTACCGCCAAAGTAATTTGTATGAGAATGACATTAGCTCACGCTACGGAATGGTCACATGACAACTTGAACATTCCTATACAAATTACAAATTCGTTTGGCGTTAGTGGGTCACGCCTGTCGTAAAGTGACTTTGTCTTTAAATTTTATTTTTTAGTTTTTGTTTGTACTTTGTGAATTGTGGCATAATATTAAATATATCATCTCTTTGTTGATACTTCTTCGTGTTAAATTATTTGTATTTTTGATTTCCTAGTCATTTACAAGTTAAAGATTAAATCTTGGAAAATAACGGTTCTGATACTAGATCCTTTATTAATTTATGTAAGGTCATAGAACTAATGTAAATGTCTGTGTCATTGTGTGTACTGCGAATTGAAATGGATGAAGAGCATCCAGAGATGGGAGACAATGCAACAGAAATAGGTGAGTATTTAAAATTTGCGAATAAATTTTTGCTGAATGTTTTCTATGATACTATAATTATTGTTTATAGAGTTTGCTAAAGAACAAAAGAAAAAAGATCGTGGAGCTCGCGAATCTAAAACAATCACAGTTGAAACCTATGCAAGCATCCTTAGTGGCCCAAATTCAGTATCTGGAATACTGCCGACGAGCTCACGTCGGGCTACCACTGAGGGAAGTGTTTCCGATGAAAATGATGTCATAAGCTTTTTTTGTGGCAATCCACTGGTGGAAGTCACTAAAGGAGTCCTACATTTATATAAAGAAAAGTATGTTTTCTATTTAAATTCTGATGATAAAATCTTGATATAGACCTTTATCTTTACAACATAAAACTTTATTTGTTTTAGTGAACTAAAAGAAGCTGAAGAAGCAAAAACATTATGCCTTCTATCAGTTCCGGGAGCTCTCGGTGCTCCTGACTTGCTGGCATTTGCTGCTGCCTGTCAACAAGACATTGCACATGTGCGTGTACTTCGAGATGGTTCACCTGATCACTATATGGCACTCCTTACGTAAGTATTGTGCTATCAAACAATGTACTTTCAGATAACACCCTAAATCCTAAAACAGAGAGAATTGTAGTTAATTTTCTATTAGACAATGCATGAAGACATGCACACATATATATGTACTGTGTACAAATATATAATATGAAGCTTATTTTGGTTTCTAGTTTCCGCACAAGTGCTGCTGCTCGAGAATTCCACTCCGCTTTTGATGGTGTGCCATACAGTAGCTTAGAGCCTGCAGCCCTGTGCCACACGGCTTGGGTCTCACGGGTTGAGTATGCACGTGATGGAGCACCCCCACCGACACATACTGAGTTGCCTACTTGCCCTGTCTGCCTAGGTAAATTCCACTAAATAGATTTTAACTAACAAAGTAATACTATTATGACAATATGAAGTCCCATTGGAGACTTTCATCTGGTCCAGCCTGAAGACAAAAAGATATTTATTTAAAAGTTTAAAAATTATTAATAATATAGAAATACTAAATATCTGACAAAATTACAAAATGCTAACATAATTTAAGCATAAATATTCCTTGCTCCTTTTATATTCTCATCACAAATAATTTTAATGTAATTAAAAATACATTAATTACATTTTTAAACAGAAAAACCAAAACATTAAACTCGCCGTCCATTTCCTTAATTTATAAACTTCTTACATTAATATGTTGAAAAATATAAGACTCAAAGTAAAATTGATGGAATGCTAGGGATCCCCTGTGTTGGGGGTGACCAGACTGTATAGTGCCTGGATTAGTGTAAATCTTACCAAATGTGTGTTTAAGTGTGGAAACTGAGTCCACACTACTCGGAGTCATAGCGAAACATGTAGTAATGATTCTGTGGAATCAAAATCCAAATGTAACAAGCATACCATACACTTTATATATCTCACTCAATAGCATTAAAACAGCATTCCAGAAACATGTATAGTATGGTACACTTTCATATTCACAAGAAACAAATCACTGCAATAGTGGTCGATATCTAAAGTGTGTGTACAATTATCCAATGGTATTAGTCTTTCTTTATACTTAATATTTCTTAACAAGTTTAAATTATGAGCTTATGGTGACACACCTTTTCGTTTTAGGGTGGGCTTGATTTTGTATGAATTCAAAAGAATGAAGAAAGAATTATATATATACATATACATTTATTTTAAATTTAATCCATAGAGCGTATGGACGAGAGCGTAGCGGGCGTCCTGAGCGTGCAATGCGCTCACTCGTTCCACGCAGAATGCCTCATGGGGTGGCGGGACGCTCGCTGCCCGGTCTGCCGATGCGCTCAAACGCCGGAGCCCCGCGACTGCGCCAAGTGTCTCGCCTGCGAGTCCTTGGCCGCCCAAGGTATGTACATATTTAACGTTCAATAAAAAAAAATGCCAACTCTAAGACTATAAAAAAAGGCAAACTAAACAATGTTTCCTTAACTGTTACACATAGAGGGTGAGACGGAAGAGACAGGTGAGCCCCGAGACACGCCCTGCGGAGTGGCCGAAGGGATGCTCGAAGTGGAGGCCGGTACAATGTGGATCTGCCTCATTTGTGGTCATGTGGGCTGTGGACGGTAAGTTCAGTACAGGAGTGTCACGAATGTCGTGTTACAGATTAGCTGAACTTAATTTATGATTGTATGAAAGTACCTCCATACAAACCACATATTAAGTTCATTACTTTAAAGAAAAAGGCGTCTGAACGCACGCATCAACATTTGACAACCAAGATTTCATTACTGAATTCTAGTTTTTTAAAACCTAAAATCCGCCATTATCCGAATATTGTGGATATATATTTTGACGATTGGAATTCATGTTCTCGTTCTTTAATTTAGGGGAATCACCGTATCAACGTGATGAACATTTCGTATAGGAAATTGTTTTTTCTTTTATTTTACATTTTCCAATGTTTTCAAACTATTATTCTGCTAATTTTTTTTGCACAGGTACGAGAAGGGTCACGCCGCCAAGCACTTCATGTTATCCAACCACACATACGCACTGCAGCTCGGTTCAAACCGCGTGTGGGACTACGCAGGTATACTTCTGCAGGCAGACTAACGGTGTCTTTAGCCCTCTCTGCTCGGGCTGAGTTGTTTAGTTGCCGCAGGCTGTAAACATGGGAATACAAGAACAAATCCGATTACTACCCGTCTACAAACCAAATACATATTACAAAATTTTGAAGTTATACTTCTTTTGGCGCGTTAGGGAAAAATGATGAGAGTAATTTTTAATATGCGCGCGCACACCGTCATAAAAAACTGACACCCGCAAACCGTCACAAAAAACCGACACCCTGAAGTTAGCATAGTCAACATTTTAAATAACAAAACATTTCTACATAATTAAAGAAATTATGTAGAAATATTTTTTGTGATATTTAAATAAACTTTATTTATAAACTAGATAATGTTTTATAATAAAACTATTAATGTATTAAATACCTCTTTTCTATTGTTAGTGTCGCTTTTTCTACATACGTAGAATAAAGCGAAAGATAAAAAAATTAAATAGATTTTTATCTTGTTACGCCAAAGAAGTATAACTTCTAACGCGTGTTCATAAGTACATACACATGTTTTTTGCGTTTTAAATCAACTTTTTTTATCAATTGATTTTCATCGTCAAGGTGACAACTTCGTCCACCGCCTGGTGCAAAACAAGGCAGACGGCAAACTGGTCGCCGCAGAGGGCCGCACCTCCGACCCTGAACCCGCCTGTGGAGACAAGCTGGAGTTCACCTATCTGCTCACTCATCACTTGGACACGCAGAGGATACATTACGAAGAGAGAATCGCTAAGTACGCTACGATCTACGTGTCTTTGGGGCCGGTCAAGTATTTCGTAAGCACTATGGGGCTGAAGGGCGGGTCTTTGTTTTTCTTATTTGGTGATTACATTTGTTACATTGTCTATGCTTGAAAACGAAATGCATTTTCGAGGATTTCTACAAAAAATATATACGTTTATGTAATATTACTTTTGAAAGCTTTTCTTACTTTTTGCTGGGGAGGATAAATTGCAATAAATCTGCTTACGTATTACTTGAACGGCCCCTTTACGGTCAGAACGAGCCCGACTCGGTTTCGCTCGACTCCAATTTTATTTCTTGGGGATGAATGTTGAATTCCCGTTTATGATGACTAACGATGTTTATCCAGGCTAGAACGGACTCACGATGAAGAACGCGAATCGTGGCGCGTGCGTTGCGAGAGCGCCGAAGCGGAGAGCGCCGCCCTTCGCGACCGCGCCAAAGCCAACGCCGCCGAGAATAAGGCTCTCACGCACAAGGTCACGGCTCTCAACAACAAGTGAGAAGTGGCGTATATCATAATAATCAATTATAGGTAAATTTTAAATTTTCTAATATATACTTTATTTTTACCAGAGTGTCGAAGCTACAGTCGGAGCTGTCGGAGGAGCGAGGCTTGGCCACGGCGTTGGCGGGTAGCCAAGCCCAGTGGCAGGAGAGGGCCAGGGCGAAGGACGAAGCCTTCCGCAGAGAGGTATGGTCCTTCGAGCCGGATCGTGCATTTGTACTGTCTCACTTTCGGCTTCTACGTCTACTAATTTTGTTTATTATTATATTCACCTAAGAATACGAGATAGTTTCCTGTTGTGCTCCACTGACTTCCCAACTTCCGTCTCCTCCTAGATCGATGAACTGAAGGAGCAACTCCGCGACGTAATGTTCTTCGTGGAGGCTCGAGGCACACTTCAGAACACCGATCAGGCCTCGCAGCAGGAGATCCAAGAAGCCAGCGTCACCGTTCAACCGCCGAAACAGAAGCCCCGAAGGAAGAAGCGATAACGGCTCGATCTAGTCACTCACACTCTGTAAATTGAAGATGTACAGTTTCCAACTTCGTATATTCCCTCTTTAGCAATTCATTGAAATAAAAAGATGCTGCCGATATTTGCCCTAAATGAGTAATTTTTAATCATTTTGTATATGAATATAGCTGTCCTTCTCTGTCCTAACGTGGTCTATGACATATAAGATAACACTAGTAAAGTCATCCTTCCAAGTCACGAGAGTTCAAAGTGATAATGAAAGTAACTTTCGTCGCTTTAGACATTTAACCTCAAATTACTGATAAAAAGACTTTAAAACATTGTTAATAATAGAGTGTATATTTTAAGTAAAATATTAATGTTTTTCTGTGATAAATTAAAAGATAAGCTAATATTGTATAAGGAGTAATAAAATATTTTTTAAAAATTTCATTATTTTAACAATCAGCCCGTTTCCTTTAATATTGGTTAAAAATACCCACACAATGTTCTACTTACGATAAATACTTTTTTCATATTTAGACACGACTTATCTTAATGTATTCAAATGCATATAGGACAGCAAATTATCATTATGCATATAAGAGACTTAAAATCCTTTTAAGTTGCATTCTTACACTTGCCTTACAATGGTTTTAAAATCAATGTTTTTATTTATTGTTTTCGCAATCTTTTTAAATGCTTATGGGGATACAAATTTTGGTTTAAAAGTACCGAATATGCGTAAGGTGCATAAAAACTTTGGTATAGAAAATCTAGGTGTACCCATTGATTTTGGGTCGCAAAATAACCTGACTTTACGTGATTTTATAAGAGACAACATATTTTTCCCAGATGGAAAGAGTTTGGATAGTCGTCGAGTTAAGAGACAGCTTCCCGGATTGGAAGGGAATCAAGTAATGGTGGGGACTTTTCAAGCTATTATGAGACCACTCGGAAATAACATTGGCGGTTTGGGAAATGAACAGACACACGCCAACAACGAAACTATACTTTAATCCATGTGTCTATTGCATTATATGATTATAACAAAAACACCCTTCTGCCCATTTATAACCTCGTATTTTTATAGACTGTAACGTATTTTGATACGATTAAAGATGTATGGAACGTTTGATTTATTATTTTTGACACAAACCTTAATCGTTATTATACAAACACAGGCTTTATTTCATAGAAAGTTGTTTATTTTGAGGGCTCTTGTAGTTTAACTTTGACTCAATAAGGTGGAACATATTTTGTCAGTCTTTATAAAGTTCATTTCGATGGCTAAGGAAGAAAAAGATACGAAAAGACCCTTATGTGAGGGCCCTTTAAACCTCGTCCTTAAGCTGTCGCGAGTGTTCGGCATGGCACCTTTGACTTTTGTACCTGAAGGGATAAAATTTTCACTTGTATACTATATATGCAGCATCGCTTTTATTACAGCTCTAGGTAAGTTAGTAATTAGTTACATCTCTTATCGAATTTAAAGAAGCGTAGTATTAGGGTTTCTTTATTTACTTTTTAAACTTATACAAGAGACGACAACGCTCTATTTCTAATAAAAATGTCTTGTTGAAATTTCTTTCAACTCCGACAAAGCTAACAACTGAACGTTTTTAAAAATATAACGCTTTTTATGATTTCAGAAACAACAATCTTAGTAGGTTTCGTGATGGAAGTGACATATCCAAAGCAATCGCGTCGTGCGGCCACCACACATATAATATGGCTTGCTTATCAGTCAGTTTTATCTGCTGTCACTTTAGTGGGCTGTTTTACGGCCCCCAAGCGCTGTCGGTGTATACTCGATGCCTTAACTCGTATTGAAAAGGTTCCTTTTCAATTATGTCCGTTTAGTAGCTTCAACAATCATTAAATGTCAATGATAGACGGTATAAGCGTTAAATATATCCCCAATTTTTGGGCAGGTATTTGAGCAAGCTAAAACTTTCACATACCTCCTATTATATTCCAACACAATTCAGACCTGGCTGGTGAGTAGCGGCTAAATCAACCCCTACATTTTTGAAAATATTATTTTTTTTTTCCCAAAAATATATTTGAGGCATACCAATTTATATATGTTGCAGTTTAATACTTAATAAATAAAAAAAAAATAACCATTTTCGGCTTTAACATTACCAGACCGTGCAAATATTTTTTCAAAAATTATAAAAAATGTTTTGAGGCAGCTTGAAATTTTAATGGAGTGTTATTTATAACTATAAAATAAAATTCCCAAAAAGACAGATCATTTTGGTAGGCTTTCTACCTCCAGCATCAACAATATGGATGGGTACGGCCTTACTACTTAGACAAGCTGTAGTGTGAGAGAGAGCGCATATCGACAGCTGTCTTCGTTCTTGCTTGCCGCGTTACTATTGACTCTAGCAGGCCCTGACTTACAATAACCCATAGCTTCTAGTTAGAATTTCGGAGTAAAAAAATATAAAATTTTCTGAATTTGTACTAAATACATTTTGCATAAAAGTGATTGTATTGATTTATGGACGTTAAAGGGAGATATTTTTGTGATTTCTTTTTTATCTTAAAAAATTAGCCATTTTGCCAATTTTAATGCGAATTTAAACTAATGAATTGTTAAATATTTGATATTTCCGTAAAAATATTTATTTTTGAAGAGAATTAAAAAAATCAGTACAATTCTCTGTTGCCCCTACATTCAAAACTAAAAATTGTTTCTCTGACATTATTGCAAGTCAAAATTTTACGGAAATTTAAACCTTTTTCTCTTAAAATTAATAAGGGTTACTTCCAATGTTAAAATTAAAATGTGATTTATAAAAATATAATATTTCTTCAGTGTTTCAATTATTTAAGTATAAAAAAATTTGAAATAAATTAAATTCGTTACAATATAATTTCATTTTTCGTTTGGATCAGAATCTTTTCAACTACTTGAATCTTCGGATTCTTCTGTATCAGATTCGGCAACCTCTTCATCTCTGCGAAAAGAAATAGATATTTATTTAGTATTGTCTTTGATTAACATACTTTTTTCATTTTAAAACACTATTTTGACCGGATTGAAGTTATGTATTATTATAAATTTACACTATTTAACATAATTTTAAATTTATCCGACGTTTCCGTGCTTTACAGCGTGCGTGGTCTGACCCCACGCTGTACTACACGGTGTGTAAATTTATAATAATACATAACTTCAATCCGGTCAAAATAGTGTTTTATTAAAAGTATTTATTTTACAGATAAAAGATAGAATAATGATAAAAATTCACATTTTATTATGTCAGTAAGAAAACTATAAACTTAGTGCTGTAAATCTTATTTTTTTTCAGTATGTAATGCTTGAAAAATAATTAAATTAATACAATACCTTTTGTAAGAGTATAAATATTGATTCATCCAGTTTTTCACTATATTTTTTCATCAAAGCTATAAAATTCTTATAACAACTTGTGTGATAACCATCTAAAGGTAAATCACTGCAAAACATATGATTATATTTTAACCTATGATGTTTACGGATATTTACACCTCCTACTTTTTTGAAGTTTTCTCCCAACAATCACTTTCTCATTTTTTTCAAATACACACTAACTTTTCACTAGACATTTTCTAATTATTTGAGTTTTAAAACTTATAATACCATTAGTAGAATAATACGACTGAAAGTAACGACTCCGAAATTCTAACTAAAAACCTCATGGGTTATTGTAAGTCACGTGGCCTCACTAAGCCAATATAACCGGCAACCAAACGAAGACAGCTTCGATATGCGCTCTTCTCACACTACAGCTTGTCTATAGTAGTACAGGCCCGTACCCATCCATTATTTGTTTGATCGCCTGGCAGGTAGAAAGCCCTACCAAAATGATCTGTCTTTTTGGGAATTTTATTTTATAGTTATAAATAACACTCCATTAAAATTTCAAGCTGCCTCATAAACATTTTTTATAATTTTTTGAAAAAATATTTGCACGCGTCTGGTAATGTTAAAGCCCCGATTAAATTGTCTGGCTTATTTTTTTTCGTATTTATTAAGTATTAAACTGCAACATATATAAATTGCGTATTTCCTCAAATATATTTTTGGGGAAAAAAAATTAATATTTTTAAAAATGTAGGGGTTGATTTAGCCCCGCTGCTCACCAGCCAGGTCTGCAATTCCTTGTTGGAATATAATAGAAGAGGTATGTGACAAGTTTTCAGCTTGCCTCAAATACCTGCCCAAAAATTGGTGCCACCTCTCCTACTATATATTTAGTTGTCTCGGCCTAGTCTAGGTGAAATATATAATATATTGTACTAAGGTGACCAACTATGTGAACAACTTTTTTTAAAAAGCGTACACTTTGCAAGTATTTCATAGGTGAAAAAAAAAGAAGAAAAAACGATAAAAACTTTATTTGTCTAATATTGTAGTCACTTCCGAAAAACTTTCATTTTGCATATTGAATTTGACTGTTAAGACGGCAGATAATGTTTTTACAGAAAGTTGTGACTTCTCACTGCTCCAATAATCATTCCCTAGTGAAAGTACCCGTACAACAGCAGCACTAGTGCCTAGACAACATAAGGAAATTTCAGAGTACATGATTTAAAGAGTACGGTTTGCGAAAAAAAGAGTACGATACTCAGTAAATGAGTAAAGTTGGTCACTATAATTATACCGTAAAATAAAGCATATAGAATAAAAATACAGAAGTTAGACTCGGCTTACAAGTTACTAATAATGTATGATCACATAATTTCTCATATAACTCTAGGTAACAACATTGATGACGTGGTCAGCGAATGTCGTAAAGCATTTGAATTCGTTTACATTTAAAGAAGTTTTATGGAGACATTATTACTCGTTATATATAACGATCTATAATTCCAGATCAGAAACTTTCTGGGCGAGATAAAGTCAAAGCAAATCGAAGCGATATATATGTATGCAACTATATTCTGTTTCCTATCCGCTGTGGTCATTCTCTGCCTTATTGACTGGTATCAATACTTGTGTGTGCCGTTCTATTTAAACAACCCAGGTATTAGCTTTGTAATAAATTTACCTATAACACTTGCATTCTAATATGTATCTAGAATAAATATTAGGTCCTTACATATGAAATTGGGGTTTTGTATGGGAGAAACAAAAAGTAGTCATTTTAAAATAGAATATATTTAATTAATCAAAGTATGTACCATTGCTATCTTGCACTTTTGCCATCTTAAAGGTGCGCTTACACGAGGGCAATAATTCCTCGGCGACTCGAATGGACCGATCTGGAGCAATTAATGGAGCAATTTCAATAAATTCAATAAATGTCAATAAATTACATATTTCGGCAATATTGCTATTAATTGCTCCAGATATTTCATATCGCTCAATGTCGCAGATACGAATTGACGAATATCCAATGGACTTGGAAATTCCTAGCAATTTTTGTATATGTCTCATTCGCACTTGTTTGTTTTGCGGCTTGCCGTCTTGCTTCCGAGGGGAGAGCAAGAAGTCTAAATAATAATAATTTCTAATTACTTTATTCAAAAGTAATTCAAAGTTTGTTCGTGACATTCTAGTAAAGTTTTTGAATAATATATCATCTAATTCTTTACACAACGAAAATTGCGGCCAAAAACGATCGCACTCAGATACGCCTATTCCTTTTCTTTCTTTTTTGTTTTTTATTAATAATAAAAAAAGCGCTACAAGCCGCCGCAGCAAGAACAATGTCGTCCATAGCGAGCGAATACTGAAATGCTCGTGTAGGACAGTATTGCGTAGTTGATGAAGTTGCGCCATATCGCTCAATATTGTATTGCGCAGTATTGATGCTTGTTGCCGTTGCCGTAAATTGCTTGATGTAGTCGTGACGTCATAGTTGACGAGTATTGACTGGAATTGAGCAATTTTAGTTGCCCGTGTAAGCGCACCTTATAGGTAGCTCATTGATCCCTTTACTAAAAAAACATTGGGGCGGGAATCAATAAAATCTATAAAGGCATTTTAGACTGCCCTGATCTCATCAGAGTTGAATTTTTTACTTCTTGCAGAAGTTATCCAAATTTGGAAAAAAATGTTTTTTGGGGCAAGGTCTGAGCAGGTGAGGTCTTAGACATTCCAATAGAAGCTCCGCTTATTTGGTAGCAGTCTGGTCTCAGTCTTTTTTTCACCTTCCCAATTTGTTTCAAGTGGATTAATACAGTTTTATCACGAACACCGAACTCAGACGTAGTTTGCGATGGATCCGCTTCCACAATAGCCTTCAATTCTTCATTATCAATTTCGGTCTCCAGCCGTCCACGGGACTTGTTCTGCAGGTCGATATTACCAGAACAAAATCGAAAACCAAAATGGCACTGTGTTTTCTTTTGCGACACCGCCGCCATTCGCTTCGAGCCGTTTCTGCAGCACTGGTGCCATGGTGGAAGTCCAACTCGTAAAATTGAAAGTGAAATTCCTAACCAATGAGCAGATATTTGAGGTCAAAGTGGCCAGTACGACAAAACGCCAATTTCATATGTATGGATTATAATTTTTTTACAAAATTAAGTAAATTGGCCTAATGTTAACTTATTGATTTTTTATTTTATAAAAGCTTTCCAACGCTCGGCACACTGTATTTATTGTTCTTATGCCAATGTATGGCAATAAAATACAATATTTAATGTGAGAGGCACTTATAAACAAACATAACATACACGAAAAGTGTATGTAGTAAAAATGCGTGGAGTCACTCTGCGCGGAAGTCGTAATGTGGAAATGAAAAAGGGAAGCATATACTCTCGCTCTGTCTCTTTCTATTCCCCCTCCCCATGAGCGTTAAACGTTTAACGCAACCTTGTTGGAAGTCGCATTAGAAGATTCACTTCAATTATTAGGGTAAAATCGATTTCAAAGTGTGAGAGGAGAAGCAATATCCTATATTCAGACTTAGCTCGTTAATCAGGACACTCAATTTGGATATGGATAATAGGATGCCTGGGGTATCAAGAGGGTACACGTAATTTAAATGTAACTGATACGGCCGCCATTACACAATAAGTCGTTTTGAGATAGAAATATGTATGACTTATGGAACGATAGACTTCAACTGCGCCTTTGAAAAAGTCTTATAATTATTGCAGTAAGTTTGTATCCCCTCTCTTCCTACTACCTGGAGTACATCATAGAAATACTGCTAGAGTTTCAGTTTGCGATCGTTGTAATTAGACTAACTGTTATACTAAGGGTAGTTAACAGTAGACTTTCGAAGTTGCTAGAAGGAATGGGTAAGTCACCAAATATTTTCTTTATTTTAATTCCCGGTCATTCGATGATTTTAATGAGATAAAGCCCTCAGCTACGACCCTCTACTTTTTCCTTAACAAAAAAACATGTTTCGGTGATAATGTTAAAACTACTACCAAACAAACAATTATTGTAATATGCATGAGCATGGGAAGTCTCTTCAGCCCAGTGAGAATTGTTGGGTCGAATCGAACCGAAATACATAACGTTTTAATTTTAACAAATAATTAATATATAAAAACATTCATATCCGGTTTCTTTGTATTGTCCGGATATGGGACTTTGCATTTTTCAGATAGAAGGAAGTGTGGAAACAAGAAACCATTAATTAACAACTTCACACTCCCCAAAAATATTCTTTTTAACAACGACTGTCATCAGATGGAAGGTGAGTGAGTCTTGTATTTGTTACACCCTTCCTCGCGAGAGTCCCCCTCGTGTAAGCCCGTTCAGGGCTTATGCCTCCTTCGGGTGGTTTGTGTATTCGCGCCCTGCTAATACAGGGCGGTACGGGGGCGGTCTGTGCAGCCCTTGAAGCACTCGACTCGCAGACGATATCGCGTCAGATATCGATGTAGGGACCGAGAAGCGACGCTCGACTCGGTCTAGTGGTCGTGTACGGGGGTGTCAAGTCCAGTGGTGGGTGGCAGGTGTGTGAAAGAAACATTTCATCATTCTCACACACCAGTCTTCACCAGTCGTTGTTTTCATTTCGGTTAGAAACGTCGCGTATTAATTATTGTGATCGAAAAAGTTCTTCGATCGCGTTACGATGAATCGTTGACCTAATATTTGTTATTGTGTAATGAATTAAGGCGAGGTTTTGTCTTTCTAATTCCAAGTGTTATTGAAATTAAAACCCAAACCGAGCAATTACTTGTGGGTGAACTGAAAAAGGAAAGAGCCCGATGCTCAGACCTGGAAAGTATTGTCCATCAACTCAAGGAACAAATAGCTCAGCTCGAACGAAAAATAGATCAGCCCTTAACACAAAGGGATGAGGCAGCCGCTGAATCAATTCAGTATGAGACGGACGAAGAAGACTCTTTCACCGTGAAAATGCTTAGGAATGGATCGGTGAAGATTATAAGATAGACACCAATAGTGAAGCTACCTACAGAGGTATCACAAAACATCTTAAAGAAACAAGCAGAGCAGGCCAATAAGAGAAATGGCTAAAAATCTGCATGCTTCTTGCAAACCTGAAAGGATAGTTGAAGACCTCATCTTCCAAGGATTTAAAATTTTAGATGCAGCCGTCAAATATAGCTGGAAAAACAAGGAACCGCTTAACATGTTCATTCTCTCTTTCCACCATCAGGAAATCATAAAAAATATTTATGAAATAAAATACATACTTGGCTGCAAAATTGATGTACAGCCACTGAAATCACCGAAATTGATTCCCGATTGCAAGAGGAGTCAAGCTTATGGGCACATACAGAAATACTGCTCCAAGGAGCCGAGGTGTGTAAAATGCTGCAAAGCATTGCAAAGCACCTCACAGTAGACTGTAACAAGCTACGAGACGCGAAACCGAAGTGCGTTCACTGTGGTGAGTCACACCCAGCTAATTACAGATGCTGTGTAGTAGCAAAAGAATTACAGAAAATGAGAAACGTCTAAAAATCAAAATCAAAGACTGAAACGGGCAAATCTGTAAAACCAGCTAAATTAGTTTCCAAGACTGTATCCTTTGCTGAGGTAACTAAAGGTCCCAAGACTCTATCCTCAACACCACAAGATGAGACATCTAACACAGGCATAGATGAAAAGATTAACACCATACTTTCATTATTGACATCCTTTAGTGAAAGACTTCAAAAACTAGAAAGCAGCACCAAAATAGCAGCTTCTAAACGTCTTGATGCCTTTAAAAATAATGGCATGGAATGCTAATGGACTTTTAAAACACCAAATAGAACTTCATATAATTCTTAAACATGAAAACATTGACATCTGCTTGGTATCGGAAACATATTTTACAAGGGAGTCATACATTCAAGCCTACCATGCCCTTCGCTCAAGCAATAAATCCAGAGGGGAAGTACAGTTATAATAAAGGACAGTTTAAAACACCATGAGGTGTTTAAATATGAAAAAGAACATATTCAGGCTGTGGCTGTGAGCCTATCAATGAAGCGGTGTCAATATCTTCTATCTACTGCCCACCCAGACATGCACTTAAGTACGACCAGTACACAAGTCTGCTAGAAAGTCTTGGAAATAGATTTGTGTTGGACTTCAATGCAAAACATACCTACTGAGGATAAAGACTCATATTGACTAAAGGAAAAGAACTGTTTAATGCAATGAAAGATTTGAGATGTGATGCAATTTTGACAGGAAAGCCTACATACTGGCCAACAGACAAGAATAAAATACCAGATCTTCTAGATTTCTTCATATTTAGAGAAGTATCACCAAATGTTTTCCAAATAGAGGAAGCCTATGATATGAACTCAGATCACTCACCAATCTTACTCACAATTGGCGAAGACCCTGTAAAGCGGAAACTGAATCCATCTCTCGTGAACCCGCATACGGACTGGGACAGCTTCAAAATTTATGAGAATATGGTAGACTTAAGAGTAGCTTTAAAGACTGAGGAACAATTACAATTAGAAGTAAATAAAGTTACAAAGAACATCCAACTGCCAATCAAGCTGCTTGGAGAAATACTCCAAAATTTAAGAAAAAGGTACAAAACAACTACTACCCAGAAGAGATTAAAAATCTGATAAAGACAAAACGAGCTCAAAGAAAATGGTGGCATTCCACAAGATGTCCTGAAGACAAAACATCTGAATAATCTCACTAAACAACTGAGGAGAGAGATTAAAATACATAAAGATACTTCAATAAAGAGATACCTAAACCAATTAACTTCTGATGGTTCCACCAACTACTCCATCTGGAAAGCGATAAGAAATATCAAAAAACCTACAACACATATTCCTCCCTTACGAGAGTCTAATGGAAATTGGGCTGCAAGTAATATACAAAAAGTTAGAAGGTTAGTTAGGAGGTTTGCTGATCATCTAGAAAATATATTTCAAATCGATGAAGAAGATTCACTTGACTTCGAAGAAATATTGTCAGAAGAGCTAAACATCCTTCTAGTCACACCAAAAGAAGTTTTAAGTGAAATTAAATGTTTAACTAAAAAAAAAGGCGCCAGGCTTTGATTTAATTACTGGTGAGGTACTACAGCATTTCCCCCGTAAAGCCGTAGTTAAAATGACAACCTTAATTAATGCGTCATTGCGACTTCAATATGTTCCCAATATGTGGAAAGTTGCGGAAGTTATACTGATTCCCAAGCCAGGAAAACCACCACACGAAGTAACATCTTACAGGCCAATCTGACTGTTACCTGTTATAGCAAAACTATTTGACAAACTCTTTCTCAAACGCCTTAACCCTATTATTGCCAAAAAGCAGCTTATACCGGATCACCAATTCGGTTTCAGAGAAAAACATTCTACCATAGAGCAGATTCATAGAATTACAAATAATATCGAAAAAGCACTAGAAGAACAAAAAGTCTGCTCCACGGTCTTTCTGGATGTAGCTCAAGCATTTGACAAAGTGTGGCACCAAGGACTTGATTATAAATTAAAGAAACTACTACCTCGTCAATTTTAAAATATCCTTGAGTCATACTTAACACAAAGAATGTTTAGGGTACGACAAGAAGATGATTATTAAGAACTGAAAGAAATAAAAGCTGGGGTGCCGCAAGGGAGTGTATTAGGTCCGGTCCTGTACCTCTTATACACATGCGATATTCCTGAACTAGAAGGTAACGTAATCGCGACCTTTGCCGATGATGTCTACGGCGGCTACGGAAAAGGAAGCGGTATTAAAACTACAAAATGCCATAAATACTGTTGGCTTGTGGACAAAAAAATGGCGGATATGACTAAATCAGTCTAAATCAGTTCACATAAACTTTTCCAACAAACCATCAAATTACCTGCCAATATATTATATTGATAACGTCAAAGTGCCGTTACAAAATTCAGCTAAGTACCTACCTTGGTATGACGCTGGATACCAAACTCCGATGGAAGTTCATAACATGGAACTTCCATCTGGAAGGAAGGAGGAACTGGAAAAGAAGCGCTAAGAGTTGGATCTCCGTTACACTCAATTGTACTGGTTGCTCGGAAGGCATTCCACGTTATCAGTACAAAATAAATTATTGATCTACAAACAAGTCCTGACACGTGTATGGACTTATGGTTGCCAGCTGTGGGGCTGTACCAGTAATAGTAACATCCAAGTAATCCAACGATTCCAAAACAAAGTGCTCAGAGGAGTAGTCAATGCTCCCTGGTTCATTCGCAATTACGACCTTCATCGGGACCTTAATGTAGAGGACGTCGCCACAGTAATAAAAAAGACTGCCGGAGCCCACGAACCATCACGTGAATGTCGAGGCTATTCAATTCCTTGACACCACGGGCCTAGTGAGACGACTTAAAAGGACAAAACCACTTGAACTAGTGAATTAGTGTTAGTGCATGTTAGTATTAAGTGCTAAACAGTGAGTGGAAAAATAGAACACAAGAACAAAGTGTCTTCCCTTTAATAGAGACTGTAAGTAGTGTCATTGGACACTTTCTTATGTTAAATATCCTTTTTAATAAATTAGGTTAGACTTAAATTACTTATTAGTCTTAAGTTAGGCTAGATCGTAATATTCCATGATGTCTTAGTGAAGACACATGTATTAAAAAAAATCACACACACTTTCTTATCTTAAAAACTTTCTAACGTTAGTAATTTCAGTGTTTACAACCGAAACAATTGTTGTTTTTGGCTGGTTTAAAGCTTGAACACACAAAGTAAGCCTATTGGCGTAAACTAGGTTTAGGCTTAACAAAGGTACTCATATTAGTATGCATATAATATATGCTTACTTCCTTCTGAAAACTATACCTTCTTTAACTATTTAGTATATGAAGAACAGGCGAGCGAAGAGATCCGAGTACTCTGGCTAGTATACGAGTTGGTGTGTGACCTGATTCGGAGAGTGGATCGAGGCTTTGGCCTCATACTGCTGCTTTTGTTGCAGTCATTTTTCCTTCACTTCATTATGACACCATATTATATCCTAAACATTAGTGAGTATAAAATTAAACTTAATGTCGAATAACATTTTTCTGCACATAAAGAGAGGAGAACTCATAGAAATAAAAATATTGGCACTTCGGAAATATCTATAGGCTTTATAATATTGTTTAATTAATTAAATAGCTACGCCTGTCCAAGCACTTAAATATTAATAAAATAACTTCAAATAAAATTTACTGTGGCACAAACACTGCATTTATGATCATGATTTTCTTAATCGACCTATTTTCCAGGCCAAATTCCTTCAGGACTGTCGTCACTAGGTCATCAAGTGGCCTGGTTCCACTTCCACGCTGCTAGCGTTATACTCATTGTGGAACCCTGCCATCGTGTGCAACAACAGGTACCTACTTTAACCAAACGTGAGGTTAAAACACCATTGTAATCTTTCATAGGAAAAAATTAATATATCGAAGGTCCCAAATATGTACTTCGGATAATTTTCGTCCTGCCCCTTCCAGAAAGATCAAAAGACAAAACAAAACAAAAGAAGATCTGTTTCAGTAGAGTCTGAATAACTTTGTTTTTCCTTTTTGACTGTTTATTTATTTTATTTTTGTCTTCGTTAAACAGATGTCCAAAACTCGATCATTAGTCAGCAAGTTGATGTGTCAGACGAGGCCTAATGACAGTCTTTCACGATCTCTTGCTGCTTTCTTCAGAAGTCTTACCTTAGAGCAGCCACTGATAGCACCTTTGGGAATGAGCGTGCTTGAGAGACCTCTCCTCATCACGGTTAGCGCTTATTATACATAAATATGATTTAGGCATGTTATTTTTTTATTATTAATAGCTTCTATGTCTCATTCAAACAATATATTGATTGTTTTTTTTTTCATTTAGATTTGTAATTCTCATTTGTCTCTTGAAAAAGTGTCGTGTGGTATTTTTGTAGAATTGACGTCAGAATTAGTTTCGCTAAATTGTTTCACACGAACGACTTAAGTTCGGTAGCGGAGGTGTTGGAGGCATGTTCAAATGTATGTTAAATGAAACTATTTGTTTGAAGCTGGGTAACAACTGGATTTAGTCGTTTAAAACATGAGCTTATAACTAACATAAAGTTAGAAGTAGTGTGGTTTCGAGGCAAGACTTACAAAAAACTAACTTGACTTTTTAAAGGGCTATTAAATCTACGAAGTATATAAGTGTAGTCAATTGGACATTATCGGAAACGAGAATGTTATATTACAATATATGAGTATGGGAAAAACTAAAGACCTCATTTTGGCTCGTATGCGATGGTTGCTAACATTTGGTTGGCTTCTAATTATTTACTAAAATATATATATGTCACTTAACTAATGTTGTAGAAATTAATACATAACTCACGCAAGTATTAATTTCTACAATTACAACGTTTAAGTATTTGTGTAAGCAAAGATTTCATCATTTTATATATCATTAATATCTCTTTCAGATTCTGGGGGTGGTGTCTGCATATCTTATACCACGACATTATTTCTCTGTTCCCAACTCCACTGAGAAGGTATTTAATGGAACTAACACATCGTGTGTAGCAAATAACCTATAATTGTTTTTTTTTTCATTATTTTCAAGTGTATCGCATATTTAAAGAAGTTGTATTGGATTTGAATATTAAAATTTATCATTCTAAACTATGTTTGTGTAAACTCCTTTTTTACTCTTAATCCAATAATGATTACAAATCCTGCGATTACCATAAACGCGAATGAATTTCAGTTTAAGGAGGAAAATGAAACAAACAAAAATTACACAAATTAATATAATTTATCAAACTACAATTCACCGTTATCGTTATATTCTTCCAATTCGTGTTCGACCTTCAAGATTTGCTCAACAACTTCTTCAGGAGTCAAAGCAACGCGATCATATTTCGTGTACTGAAACGATGTATATTCTTCGGCATCATCAATTTTGTCCATGACAGCCTCTTCCCCATAATCCTCTTCTAAAACGTGTGCTTCGTCTGCAAGGAAATATGTCGCAAGATACTCAAAAAATACCGGCAGGTGTTTCATTATATTGAAGTTTTGTATCGATCTGTCTTCATCTGGGTTGGTTAGCGCATCTAAAACAGTAACTATTATTAAAATCTTTGACAGACAATATACATTTTTCTTCTTTTTGAAAGCGTTTGTGAATAAGGTTTAACTTTCTCATTAGTTTATTAAATTTAGACATTAACTTAGTATTTAGCAACATTTATAAGAATGTAAATATAATCGATACCTTCAGACCCAACTAGAATATACAGCACCGAAAGGAGAAGTATAAGCTCGAATGTCTTAACGAACATATTTCTTCGATGACACTTCACTATCTAGAGACGCTGAATATGAATTATCGCATTTTTATTCTAATTTTTACAAGATAAGACTTAACGAGGCGAAAGACCACTTTGGGAACCTTGGATTATTTAATTAACTATTGAACTGACAACCAACATATCTCTTTCATGTATCGTGTACTCTGCATGGAATTGGAATTAAAAATCTTTTCGAGATGCAATTTAATATATTTGAAATCACAATTCCTATTCAGCCGATGACAACAAGCAAAGTTCATAACTGTCGCTTTATAACTTTAGAATAATTAAGTAATTGTAGGTAAACGTATGTAATGAGGTAAATCACAATAAATACCCAATTAAGCTACTTAAATATAATTATTTCAATCACTGTTGTTGCACATGAAACCTGCAATATAAAGACACGATCTCAATTCGACACTGCATATAACCACCATGAAAGTAATATTTGTCGTAACTCTGGTTATTATAACTTTTTCATTCGCGAAATGTTCGAGCAAAGTTCAGCAAGTGAAAGAGATGGAACCACAGACAAATTTAGAATCCCGAGAGAGCGACTTTGATTTAATTGAAGTTTTGACAGAATGCAATGATAGTTTTCGGATCGAGATGTGTAAGGTTTTATTCAAACTTTCGTATTAAATTTATAAAAGATATTTAAATAAGTTTTACTAATCGTAATGCTACATTAACTACTTATTTTAGCTTATATAGAGGCGTTAAACGCAAGTGGCAGTTTTCCAGATGAAACAGAAAAAACACCTAAAGTAAGTAAACCTTAAACTTCATATTACGCTATATATATAGTATATGACAGTACCAATTAGCGTCATAAATATATTATTTTAAGTGTTACATCCGCTGCGTATTGGAGAAGACAGGTGTGATGTTAGAGGGGGAGGAATTTGACCCGGAGAGGAGTGCCATAGTGCTGGCACAGGTCAGAAAGACTACGCCGGTAGAGGCCATTAAGGACATTGCCAATGACTGTGCTAAACGATGTATGTATCTAAAGATAAACATTTTTATATTTTTAAATAATTAAAATGTCGGTTCTCTAGTTTGTCTATAAATAGCAGTTAGATAACATTTACAAATCAATATTTAAATTATTTTGGTATACAGTGTTATATGGATTAATTTCAGTTGGAAAGTCTGTTTGTGTGTCACGCTGTAAATGCTCAAAGGAGAACCGTGAGAGATAGAGTGTTTTTTGTATACACTAAACAAATATTTACTGTTTAAAGAAAATTATTAATAAAAATTAATTTCAGCGGAAACGTGTAAATGTGAACGATCATACCAGTATTTGAAATGCCTCATGGAGACCGAAATACAGAAGTATGAGACAAAGTCATAATTAAATTTAACCAAATAATGGAACCCCGCACGAAGATTTAAAAAATAAACGACAATATCATTTTTTTTTCACTGATTGCTTATAATTTTTAAGCACACTCTTTTTGTTTTATATACACAATATTAACGCGTAATAAAATAGAATGTTTGATAATGAAATCGTCATACGAAATAAAATGCATAGTTATATTATCCTTAGTCTTTAATTCTTTTCTCTTATTAATAATATAAATTATTGTTTGGCTTATAGTATTGTCATTTTCACGAGACGACCACGTCGGAGTCGGATTTCTTATCGCCGAAAAAACTTTGCCAAATGGAACCCAACCACCCTGTCTGTGGCTCTCTGAAAACATGATTTTTTAAATTAGACTATGTTCACCTTTTATATTCTTTTGTATTATTAAAAAAAATAAGTTTACAATAGTGTAGTGGAAACATACACTAGACAGTTTTTCTGATAACCAGGACGTCCAACAAATTTAAAACTTATATACTAAGACCAATTATAACATAAAATTATAATTATCATTTTGCGCGTAACTAAGCCCATTAAAATATCTTGGTATAACTATACTAATAATAAAAAGCTAAAAGGTTGGTTTGATTGAACGGAGTACTACTTTATATTGAAAAGACTGTGTGTGATGTCGTAAGCTTGATAACTAAATAAATAACTTACCTATTCAAAAAAAAAAAGACATAAGAAGAAGAAGAAGGCAAGATTACACGAAAACTGAATTAAACAGTGAAACATTGAATCACTGCTAGTTTCCGCTTAACTGCAATTTCGTTTAGAAGACGGCTCGATCGATTTTAATGAGTTTTTACTCTGCGGACCACATAAAGAACCTTACATATGGCCGCAGTCTTTATTAGTTACTGCATAAAATAAATATTGCAATTTGTTTTTAGTATTTATACCTAGATGGTGAGGAATTTTGTGGCTTCCCTGTAGACGTCTCCACAATACCTTCAGAGCTGGGGGGGTGTGCTAAAAATTTCAGTGCAAAATAAGAAAAAATAACAATTCATCGGATTACAACGCGTTTATGACTTATCAATTAATTATATAAGTTACAAATAGTCTAATATAAAATTGTCTTAACAAATGCGTTGTAACCCGTTAAAATGCTGTATCATTATTAGTGAATTACTTCTAATATATTAAAACTTCGATTAAAGTTAGATTAGGTTACATTATTATTTTATTGTTTACTTACTCCTTTTTACAATTATACATGTTGTTCACTTTCTTTACATCCCCTCGGCTGAGACCTTCTCTTTGACCGATCTTTGTGTTGCTGACCTGTGGGGAATATGACAACCAAATTTCTTGTTGTAATTACTTGAAGACTGTACTGTACTTGTTTTTGTAGTATTCTATTATCAGCTATTATTGTATACTTTCTGGAACATACCTTGGGATCAATCGTTTTCTTGGAGTTTCTGGAGAAGGCAAATTCGGAGTAGTGCATCACACTGTTGTAGTCGTAGCCAATGCCGAAGTCATCAGTTCTTTTCACGTCAGATTTCTTGAAATTTATCTCGGTACCTATTTAGTAGGGAATATTTAAAACAATAAATTTAGCTTTTTTGCTACTTCTCTTAATAGTAGTAGTAAATTATTTATTCAAAACATTTCAACACGTAGATACAAAACCAAACACTCGCTTACCAGGTTTGACGTTATCGTAATGAATTGTTACAAAGTCGTCTCTCTCTGGCCGGCTCTGCTCGTGCATGAACCCTATCGCGTGGAGAAGCTCATGCAGCACCGTACCCTTTTTGGAGACACAACCAGGTGCTTGTAGATTTACCTCTTGACGGCCGCCTAGCGTTATAAAGATTAAATTTAAAAAATATTTTAAACAAATATGTATGTATTGCCTTTCTTTAAGTTCATATTTTACTCTTATTATCTGTCCTTTGTTACTTAACCTTCAACATTGATGATGTTCTATTAGTCCTGTTATTCGCACTCACCGAGTCTCCCAACGCTGGACCAGCAGCCAGTATTGGAACTTTTGATGATAATGTAGTCGCTCTGTCCACTGTAAGGCACGAACCGCAAACACGTCAGGCGGTGGTAGTCGGCTATGGCCTTACGTACTGTGTCTTTCTGCTCCTGAGCTTTAGGAAAATGTTATAAAAAAATGGTCAAAATACATAAACGTGGAAGGAAGCCTTCATATAATTCCCAGAGTCTAGGAAATCTAGATGACATATGAAGGCTCGTTAAAGAAAGAAATCATCTCAATTTACTTACTATAACTGCCATCAATAATATAAGGGATGATGCCATTTGTCCATCGCGACGTTTTGTCCCTAATTCCATTTCTAGCCAAGCCCGGTATCAAGATGTCTCCCTGTAGGTAGCCGCCCATTTCTTCAGGGTTCACCAAGGACGAATCGCTCCACTCCGATAGGGCTGCTCCTAAAAATCCAATGGGTTAAAAGCAACTTTATTAAGCGAATTTTATAAAGAAAATTAGAGATTTACGGAAACTAAATTCTATGTGTGGTTTAGTACTTAGTTATTTTTAATAATTCTGACAAAAAGAAATACATTTAGGGAACCCCTATATTTGACTTCAATGAATATTTAAATGGAAATGAAAAGCCATTTCTTATCAAGATATCGTTAAGGAAAGGAAGCGTTTCCGTCAATGAATTCCGAAGCGTGACAATCAATTTATCAGCCATAATTGCTTTACCAAAGTATTTGGCCTGATTATTTATTTATTAATAACATTTAAATCAATTTATAAAGGTACTAACCGCTTTCATTTGTTGGCAAACCAAACGCCTGTGGTCCCAGGTCAGATATGTCAATTTCTCCATCTCCCTCGATCCGATTCGAACTCAAGAAATCATCAGAGATTATAACTATGTCGTCGTCCTCTATAGGCAAAGAGGTGGTCGTTGCACAAAATAAGAATATTAAAAATAAAGCCATTTTCTATAGATGTACTAGGCCCGCAGAAGGTGTGAGAATATCTGAGTAACTTTGAAGGTGCGCCGAATTTATATTTAAGGATAGAGTAAACAAATGTCGCGTCACTCGTCATTCCCAGATAAGAAATACACTCAAGTTTAGTAATTACTTAATTTTATGGAATTGCTAATAATTCGATACTATTCACACCTTGTGACCGGTTTTAAATTCTAAATAAATTTAAAAATTCGTATGATTTACATAACGCTGTGATTCGGAATCTAAAATCAAGGCTCAGTAGAAACTGACAAACATCGTAAACTTAATAAATATTTATTGCTTATTATCTAACTAGAACTGTTATTCGATTTTGATTACTTTTTTGACTAAGCGACAATTTCAATAATAATTACTTCATTTGAATGAAATTATACTAGGAAAGTATAAAAATCGAGATGAATAAGACTTTCCTTTATTAAGAGTTAGAAATTCAGTGAGATAGTATCAAAATGATTACCATAATGTTACTGGCCATTGTGGTGTCCTGTACATCGATTACAGGTACATCTGGGGGCTGTACCTGCCCATGTCCATGCTATGGTACAAATACAATGTCCAGCGGCCGTGCGCACTCTTTGGAACAACCAAAAACTGTTCGGGATTATGAAGATCCGTTGGCCTTATTGAAAAGATTCGCATTCACGCACAGAATAAAGGACCAAAAAAAGGGCGACGAGGATGAATTTATAAACACCGGTAATGAAGTAGGATTCGGCATGTGAGCAACTGAACAGCATACGACCACTGTAAATAAACGCGTTTGAATCCAATAAAAAGTATATTATCAATGTTATGTTTTTTAATTGTCCTTCTTGTATTAAGGGAAATGCTTGTTTGTGTGAGACTGATGTCTGCTAAAGGTAAGTACCTGAGTTACAGGTCATCAGGCCTCCACCACTTCGGATCGACCGAAGGTTTTAAAAAGTAGAGAAAATTTTTGCTGAATAAACAATTGTTATTATAATAGGTTGCAACATTAAAAAATTCTATATAAGGATATTTACGAGTATAAGGAAACCACATGGGTCATGTGTATGTGTGTGAGTGTGTGTATGTGTTATTACTTAATTGTTAATCTAATAAACTTTACACTATCTCTATGTATACGTATATATATCAAATTCTCGTGTCACAATGATCGTTCCCATACTCCTCCGAAACGGCTCGACCGAGTCTTATTAAATTTTTTATGCATATTCAGTAAGTCTGAGAATCGGCTATTATCTATCTTCCCTTAGTGATATTTTTTTATTTTTTTTATTTTTTTTATTTTTTTATGATACAGCATACAAAAATACATACAACCCCCTCCACGATCAACCCCTTTGTTTCCTAGAAATGATATACATGGCAAAACAGACGTTTGCCGGGTCAGCTAGTATATTATAAATTATTACCTAACATTTAACATAACATTTAGTGTCAACTTCATACTCAACTTTTCTCTGTTTCTGTTTCATTTGTGTGTCTGCCTCGGTGCTAAACTAACCCAGAGGGCATCAGAGATGACGTTTAGTTGGGTGCCCTCAAATAATGCGTCACCGAAATGCATTTCCACCAAACAATATAGTATATGCTGGATAACATTTTAAATTAGAAATGTGGTTTATATAAATATTGAGTGAGGCATGACATGACGTTGTCGGAACACTTGCATCAGTTCGGAAGCACACCTTATCTCATTACTTTAATCTCCTCATATTTCTCAAGGTTTGGTTGTTTGCGGAAATAAAAGTTAGCCTCTGTGTCCATCATCTGAATCTAGTTTTTCGTATCAAACAAACGTTGATAGCTCTATAGACTCCGTTGGAAAAATATTTAAACGAACTTTTACGAAAAAGCGTATTAAACTAACGAGAAAATATATACCCATTTACATTTTTTCATTATATATAAATATGTATATATATTTTTATATATACTGCTCAAAACAATTAACGGAACAAGATTTTTCTCCTTTCTATTGCATTTAACTAAAATTAGATTTAAATTAACTTGTACGCTATTTTTTACCTTGTTAATTTGTTAATTACTACAATTAATAAAAAAATTAAAATGTGCATTGTAGACGAAAAACTAATTGGTGATAAAAAATGTCCATCAAAGAAATATTCTTATATCGTTTGAATATTCGTCTTTAGTGACTTTGAGTAACGTGTGTGGCCTCCATGAGCCCTAATCACGGCTTGACAACGACGCGGCATGCTCTCCGTCATGATCCTCCGAATATCTTCTTGTGGAATTCGCTCCCATCTTCAATCAACCCAAGCCCCGTGTTTGAGGTGCACGGACGCTTCCGGATCCCTGTCAAGCAAGTCCCAAAGGTGTTCAATTGGATTTAGGTCAGGGCTCATGGAAGGCCACTCCATTACACGGATTTCCTGCTGTCGTAAGTAATCTGACGTGATGGCTGCAGTATGCGGCCTGGCATTATCTTGCATTAAAAGAAAATCTGGGCCCATACCATATGCTGCGGGCCAAACATGATCTTCGAGCACATTTTCAATGTAAGTTTGAGCACACAAGCGCCCGGGAACAACGACAAGATCTGTGCGCTCGTCCAAACTAACTCCGCCCCAAACCAACACAGAGTCACATCCAAATTTGTCATATTCCTGGACTGCTGCTGCACTGTATCGCTCGCCTGGGCGTCTGTAAACACGGAGACGACCATCGCAACCAGGGCCGCGCCGCCCATGTGTGCGAAGTGTGCGGTGCACACAGGCGCTGATACAATAAGGGCGCCGCCACCGAAATTATTTATACTACACTACAATATTCTTACGTACGTTTGAAGTTTCATTTTACGCTTTAGGTTTTAGTTTACATTAATTACTCAGAGCTTAGCGAATCAAAAGAAAGGCCGCTGGTGACCGCCGTGAGTTTTTTGAGTGTGTTTATGTCTTATGATTTCAATAATATGCCGACATACCTTGATAAAATCCAAAATGAACTATTTTTTATACTCGGTAACCAAATTCAACATTTTATTTTAAATTTATGTCGAATTAATAAATATTTTTCAATAATACTGGATTGTACTACTGACGTTTCACACGAAGAGCAAATTATGGTAGGGGACCCAACGATGCTAAATGGGGATTTACTCGAGCGTCGTAGAGACCTATTGGGATGCAAAGCTTAGATAATAAGAAGAAAAAAATGTTATATGATAAATTCCTTTTCATCGGTGGGGGAAGCGGCTATAGATAGTTAAATATGTAAAAAAAACTGTTGCACTGGACATCCTCGAGCGCGTCAGATATTGATAGCATCTATGCCCTACGTATTTTTAATAATGTACGTATGTTAATCTGATCGTTTGCATGATGCGGGTGGTTGTATTTAAGGGTTGAAAATGAAAAAAAAATTTATCGAGCGCGTCAGATTTTCTAAGGGAGTGTTAAGTGCACCAAAAAAAGCTCTCATTCACTAATCTGACGATTTCGATGGGACGCAAAAACACAGGCATTTTCGTAATTTGCAAAAAAAAATCGCAATTTTGAAATACTCAAGCGCGTCAGATTAAGATATATGTGGTTCATCTTTATGTTCTAAACGTACTGTCTCATAATCTGACGATTATCTAGAGGGATTCGCCTGATCTGACAAAAAAAATTAGAAAAACGGTTCACCTAAAGGGCCATCCCTGCAACTTCCCGCTAATTCCATTCCTGGGCGCTTAAAATTGATATTTTGAGCTCGCTGAGTTCAAAGAAATAACATTTCTATGCATTTGAGCTCTCCCAGCTCGAAAGTCTGATAGAAGTGTCATAGAACACTATTTTTGGAATTTTCAAACCGCAATAACTTTTGAATGGATCAAGCAATTTTCACGCGGTTGGCGGCATTCGACGCAGTTTTATCATTCCCATAAGTAATTTTGCAATTTTAATTGATCGAACCACAAATTTCGGAGTAATCCCGAATAAACACTTTTTCGGGTTTCTTTCGTTCACGATATCTCTCGAACGAATAAACCGCTTTTGACCAGCTTAGTGGCGATCAACGTGGTTTTTCAAGCTCAAAGGCGGATTAGTTTTTGAAAGTTGATCGATAAAGAAACCACTTTAAAAAAAATATTTCTTATTTTTTTAAGATTTTTCAAAATTTCTCAAAATCTATCGGTCCGAATCGGTTCAAATTCACAGGAAATGTAATTTTGAGGGAAATATTTAGAACGCCGTTTAGGAGATTCCGATCGGTTTAAGGAAATGTAGGCATCACGCAGCTGCACGCATTTAACTTTATCGACGAATTTTTGTTATTTCGGCTTGCGGAAATCGTCAGATTATATATTTTTCATTATTCTTGAATTATTTCCTTCAAAATAAAAAAAAAAATAGCTACGCTCGAGAATGTCGAGATGACGTTTTTTTTACAACTTTGTTGCCCTCCCCTTTTTTCCGTCACTCTCAAATTGTCAGATTAGTGGAATATACACTTTTTAGGATGTAATTAACTCACCCTACCTTAATCTGATGCGCTCGGGAATTTCTGATGGTCAATTTTTTTTACTAATCTGATCCTGTCTCCTTCACAGGCGGCCTTATATATGGACCTCATGTTTTGTGGAGGTACTTAACCGAGTACAAGCTATCCCCCTGTATATTAATCTGCCGCGCTTTAGTAAATCCCGAAATCCCCTCTTGGGCTCCCCTACCATTAGTATGATAATAAGATTTGTCAACTTTAACATGTAAACTAGAAAGTTAAGAATAAGAGAGCATTTCCTAGCTTTCCAATTTATAATAGCACTTTCTGCTCAATCGTAGATACAACTGGCGCTGGAGTAACGTCATTTATAATAGAAAAACTAAACGAAATTAATTTGGACATAAAGAACTTAAGGGGGCAAGGCTATGATAATGGCTCAAATATGCGCGGTAAGAATATTGCGGGATGTACGAGTAAATCTCCGCACTTTTTATGTCCGTGCGCCAGCCATAGTTTAAATTTAATAATAAATGACGCTGCACATCTCATACACGACTGCGTTTTTTAATATTGTGCAAGAACTATATAAATATTTTTCGTCCTCTACTAAAAGATGGGATTTATTACAAAGATATGTCATAAATCTGACCTTAAAAACGGTTAGATAAAAATAACATCATAAATAAACTATGTAACAATTTAATTCACGTTTTATTTTTCACGGCAATTGGCCAGCGGACGTTTTACCTATTTAAGTGGATTAAACTAAAGAAAAATTTTCTTTCAGTCAAAATTAAAAAATACATTGAAACTTGAAGATTCTTAAAAAATAGGCCGAAATATAGAAGGAGTTCCCTCAAAGGCCTGCAACACACCCGCTAAAAATGTCTATGAGATTCAATGACTGCCATTTTTTCCGTCCCTAAGGCTCGTTTGACCCCTATAGAAAAAGGAGGCGCTTCATGGGTTTCGCCCACACAGGCGCTGCCGGGGGTCGGCGCGGCCCTGTCGCAACGTGTTAGACGGAATCGTGATTCGTCAGTAAAAAGCACTGGCCTCCAATGTCGAAGTTGCCAATTAGCGTGATTTTGCGCGAACTGTCGGCGAGCTTGTCTATGTTGAATTGTTAGACGCACAGCCCGAACTGGTCGGCGTGATCTCAAATTGGCTTCCAACAACCTATTTCTTACCGTCTGGTCGGAAATTTCTACACCAGTAGCCGTCCTTAGTGTATTTTGTAGATCTCTTGCAGTTGTGGTGCGGTTGCGTAAAGCACAGTTGACAA